TTTCAAGTTGTATTTGAGCTATGTTTATGTTTATCTTTGCCATGGTGAATATTTTTGAAATAGCATTCCCATGTTTTCATTCCATTGAGTTTTGCATTTTGGTTTTGCTAAGGGACTAGCAAAATGTAAGTTTGGGGGTGTGATAAGCGCTGAATACTGTATATTCAAGCGCCCTAAAGTACATTAACAAAGTCCATTAATTGATTATTTTATATAGATTAACTCCATTTGCATGTTTTTATGCATTTTCAGGTTAAAGTGCAAAAAGGAAGCAAAAATGATGCCTTGTGGAATTTTGAACAAAAAGGATGCCATTTCTGAATTTCTGGCAGCAGTGATCCTGACTTTTGTCGCCATTTTCGACCTAGCAAACTCAAGAACTGGACTTCCCTCATAACATGAAAGATTTAGAGGTCTCAATCAGCTTTCCAAATCTTCAAACAGTTTGTCATTCGGAGCTCGGATCAGAGAGTTATGGCCTTGTTACCAGAGGTGCACAGAACTGCCTGGCAGCAATGCAATTCTGCCTTGATCTTCATTTTCGACCAATCAGACTTGAGAATTGGGTCTTCATCAAAACATGAAGTTTTTAAAGCACTGAATCAGCTCTCCAAATCTTCAAACAGATCATCATTCGGAGTTCGGGGCACAAAGTTATAGCAGTTTTACCAAAAATAGGTCAGCGCTGAGCAAGAGGAGCATGTTGCACATTGCACTAAGTTAGAGTGCTCGAGATCACTTTTCGAGTGCTCGAAAATCAGGCAGATTGCACTCGGAAATGGCTCAATTTCAGCCACTTGCACATTGGTTTCCTCAATGCCATCTTCCTTCTTTATGAAGTGGTTGGAGGTGTTCCTCGGAGGAGAGAGAGAGGGTGTTGTTGGAGAATAAAAAGCTACCAAAGGCCACACATTTGCTATCTTTGATTTTAGCAAGATTAGAGGAGAGAGAAGAGAGCAAGGAGGAGGGTGTTCTTGAGTGCTACAGTAGGAGCACGAAAATGGAGTCTTGGATGGAGCTTCTTCCTTCTTCTAGCTTAGCAATGGGTAACTAATTCTTTCTCTAGGGAGGTGATGAAGTCCCTCCCTTGTAAGCATGTCCTAGGATAGTCTATTTTGGGGATTTGCCATGTATATTTTATGGTCTTTTCATAACCAAGAGCACCTCATTTGTTGTAATGAATGTTGATACATGTATGGATGATTTCTTTAAGTTGATTATCTTGTCTTAGATGATGTCTTAGAGTAATCATATTGCTTGAGTTTTTCATGGTGAGAGTGGAAGCAAGGTTATGAAATGGTTTCATGGCATGTTGATAGGTGACTTTGATAGACCATTGCTTAGGAAATCCTTTGATGGTGTATGCTTAATCTCTAACTCCATGTGCTTTATCATTTTGTCAAGAACTTGATAGTCTCTCATTTAAGTAAATGTGTATAAGCTACACCTTAGTTAGGTAGTCTAAGCATGTTTATCTTTTGATGGATTATACTTGTTTGAGACCTAATGTACCTCTTGATTACTTATATGGCAACCATGTGTTGCTATGTAAGTCTTGACCATCATATGTTGTTTTTCCCCCAATTTAGGTCTAATCTAGCATATGTATAGGGATGGAGGCGAATTCACTTCCCTAGTCTCCTCTTCTTAATCTTTTCATCCTAAATTCCTTGCAAATTAGTGTTTTGTGCACTTTGAATTCCTAATTTAAGTGACAACAAACAAAACCTCTATGAACACCCCTTCATTAGCCTAAGAATGACTCTAAACGCTTAGGTTGCCTTAGACTAGCGCAGTCCCAGTGGTTCGACTTACCCGACCAATAGCCCTATTTTACAATGATTCGTGCTATTGCGAAGAGGGTTGATTTATAATTGATTTCGACCGTCGATCACCACCCTTCTCTCTTCTTTTTCGGCCACTTCCTTTAGGTAAAAAGGTGTAGGACCTTAGTGTTTTATGCTCTCCTCACCGTGTTTTACCTTTTCCCCTTATTAGAATCCGTTTTTGTCCATTTCTTAAGTTCAGGTTTGAAGTCAAGTTGTGATTTTGATGGGGCTTCCTTGGGGGTTATGTTCATCGTGTTGTCCCCGACAAAACCTAGAAATTTCGTCGGATTCGGAGCGGTTTCGTTTTGGTGGGGATTTGAGATTTCATCTCAAATTGAGGTAGGGGGTGTTATAATTTCATATTTTGTTGTCTTGCATGTTTTTGATGCTTATACAACTTGTATGCATGCTTTTGTTGAGAATCTAGAATTTAATTTTTATTATTTTCTATGGTTAAGATTTAATTCTCATGATAGTATTCAACTTAGAATTAAATTGTGGTATGCTAGGAAATTAAGTTTTGATGTGTTTGTTAACATATATTAAATTAGGATAATTTGAATAAGAATTGCACTTTTTATTTAATAATTATCTTTGTGAAAGTTTAATTCTCATGGACGTGTCTTGTATGGAATTAACTTATGATATGCTATTAAATTAAGTTTTGGTATGTTCTTTAACATACTTTAATTTGAGAGGATTTGGATGAGTTTGAAAATCTAGAGACTTTAATTAAGAGAATTAATTAAAATCTATTTTTATGGTTCCATTGGTCTAATTAGGATTTTGAATGAATATATATAATGACCATGCTATGTCCTTTAGCGTATATTAAATTAAGGACATTTACAAATGATTTGAAATCTAGAGAATTTAATTATTTTTATTTAATTAAATTCTATCTTGTTGTTCCATGGATTTAATTTTGTTGTAAAAGTTGTTTCTACGTATAAATCATGGATTTGGACTTTTGTGTATTCACATAGTTGAGTTTTGAGCATTGGATAACATTGTAGTTATATTTATATTCATGAAAACATGTTTACTTTATGGAATATATTGTTGCCTTGTGTAATGAATTGCACACTTTGTAATTGACATCATGTATGTTATTTTAGAATTTAAACTCTAAGGCATGGATTGTGTGGTTTCAACCTACTTGCGCATGGAAGGTGTTTTTGTGCATTATATAAATTATGTATAAGTTGTGAACTTATTTGGATTATTTTGGAGTCTTGGGACATAGTTGTTACAAGTGATATGGCAAGAGTTTGGCTCTAGTGCGGGAGGTATGAGTTCTCCTCAATTGAGATAGTGCGCACTAGGGTGGTCTTCCCAGCGGGTTAATGCATGGATAACCATTGAGGTCTCGGTAGAATTCCGAGCTTGATGTCCAAGTCTTCCACTATTTGATTTCGCATTTAATTCCAAGTTGACAATCATGTTTAATTGTGACTTGTGGTTTTTGCTATTGGCGATTTGATGTTGTTAAGTACATCCATGCTAAACTGGTATATTTAGTTGTTCACACACTTTTAGATTTCAAGTTGATAACTTAGAGAATCTATGTCTTGATGTGTGGTATTAAAAATTCTAATTATATTAAATTGTTATATTTAATTGTTATTGCATTTTAGATTTCAAGGTGATAGCTTTGAGAATCTATGTCTTGATGTTTTGTATAGCATGCACCTATGTTGTTGAAATTGCATAAAGGATGTGTTTTATGTTAGAAATGATTTAAGGTAGCTTAGGATGCTCCCTGAGTCTAACCTTTGACAAAGACGTTAGGTGGCATGACCTTTTTACATTGTTTCAAGTTGATGTAAAAATCTATAAGAAATCGAGTCGATACATGCTCATTCTCTACGAGTAAAATTGTTTACTCACCCCGAAGTTACTCGGGGATTTGTTCAAGTACAGGATTCAAGATTTGGAGATTGCACTTGCCTTGGGTGGTTTAGAGATTTAAAGTTTCTTTTAAAGCATTCTTGTTCATTTGCAAGTATTAACATGTTTAAGTTTCACTATTAACGTTGTAACACTTAGTTAGGTGCAATTATGTCATTTTTGACTTATAACATGTAAACTATACTTGGATACACTATTTGGAACCTAATTGATATGTATGACATAAGGCCAAGGGCCACAAGCTTCTAATTTCTAAGTTTTGCCTTTGAAATGTAATTTTTCTAACTTTGAGGTTTGGCATGTCAAATCTTGTAAATGTGATATAATGAGGCCGTAGGCTATTGTAATATGTTTAAAATGTTACACTACATTTGCGTGTATGTTCACATCATCACATAATAGCACATTATTAAATTTGATCATACCATGAAGGATTCAAATAACGCTTAGGGGTTTCTTCTTCATTTTGGTGCATAACAGGTTCATAGGCACTTTCTCGAGCCATTCCGGTCGACTGATTCCCTTTTTGGTTTCATTTCAACAGTAAAAACATGCATTCTAATAGCCAAATTCGAGTTTCAAGTCCATTTCGGTCGACCGATAGTTTATTTCGGTCGACCGAAGTGATTTTTCTTGACCTTCAGGATTTAGGAGAGTTTTTGGTCATTTCGGTCGACCTAAATAGCTTCCACACTCCAGCTTCTTCAGTTCTGTTTCAGCACTGTCATTCCGACTTCAAACGGTTATATCTTCTTCATTTCTAATCCAAGTGGGATGATTCTTGAGCCTAAATTCCTGGATTTTGAGTTAGCTTTCTAATGGTACCAATTCCACTCTCAGATTGAAATCATAGTGGGAGTTATTCATGTTTTAGTGACGTAGTGTCAGTTTTCGCTTAAATCGGGAAAGGGCATTTGGTGGGATTATTGTCCAAAATTCTTGGAACCTGTTGGAAAGTTATAAAATCATTAGATTAGGTTGTATTCACATTGTTTGACTTGTTTATAGTCAATTCTCTCTTTTTATTTACGAATTAACTGTTTTGCCCCTTAGTTAATAGATTTTGCCCGTTTTGACCTTTGTTTCCGCTTTCATTCTCTTTGAGTTTCATGACTTCATGGAAAGTCACTTGGGTGTCCTAAGGATGATTTATATCTCTAGAGACCTTGGTTTATCTTTTGCTTCCACATTTCGGACCCGTTACCGGCTTAACTTTCGGGTCATCACTGACGCATCGGGTTGAAAAACTTGGGCCGTCATAGGGTGCAACACGAGGACTTCCTAGGGGGTCACCCATCCTAGTACTACTCTCGCCCACGCGCGCATCACTGCGGAGTGCTGATGGGATCTGGTGCATTAGTGCTAGTATAATCGCACCCTAGAAACTCTTGCCTCCATTTCCCTTTAAACCCATTCCCACCCCGTACTATTGCCCTTGCCGACGCGTTCGCTCGGTATAAATAAATAAACTAACAAAAATATACACACACATTAATGAAATTAAAATCCAAAGCCGGATAAAAAAACTGTGAAACACGAAGACTTCCCTGGGGTCACCTATCCTAGTACAACTCTCGCCCAAGCGCGCTTAACTGCGGAGTTCTAATGGGATCCAGTGCATTAGTGCTGGTATGATCGCACTTGACTAACATTCACCTCTATTTCCTTATAAAACCATTCCCACCTCGTTCTATTGCCCTTGTGATCGATGTGACAACTATACATCAACGTTTACAATAGCACAAATCATTATAGAATAGGGCTATTGGTCGGGTAAGTCGAACCACTGGGACTGCTAGTTTATGGCAACTAAGATGTCTAGAATCACTTTTAGAATGATGAAAGGGTATATAGAGGTTTGTTGGTTTGTCACTAAGTAACTAAAATTAGAATGTGCATAAAATAGTAAATGAAAGGAATCTAAGATGAGAGGAACTTATGTAAAGAGGGCTAGGGAAGTGAATCCACCACCAACTATACAAACATGCTTGCTTGCAAATAACTTGGGGGACAAAATATATATGTAACCATGATATGTAGAAATGCAAGACAACTACAATATCTTCAAAAAGTTCACATATTCAAGAATTAAGTATAATTCATCAAAGGTTGGTATAATTCATCTATCTAAACTAGGGTATAGCTGAAATATCCTTCCTAAGCTATGAACTAACAAATTCCTCAATTTGTGTGGTAAGTGCAGATGAAGTCAAAAGATAAAGATAATCCATCAAAAGGGAGGCCCTAAGCTTGGACTATCAAACCTTTCATACAACATGCCATTAAAATCATTTCATATTCTCATCTCCATTCTCACTATGGAGATGTAAGCCCTATAATCATGAAAACATACAATCTAAGACAAGATAATACATTTAACACCATTATTTATTGAATTGAAGAACATTTACAACATGTGTAAGTCTCTAGAATATGAAAAGATTACATACACACTTCATTCCCCAAATCAAAACAAGATTATAGCATGCTTACAAAGAATGGCTTCATCACCTCCCTAAGATAAGGAGTTAGTTGCTTATGGATGCAAGAGAGGAAGGAGAAGAGATGAAAACCCCCTCTATTTTTGTGCTTAGAGGACCCAAAATACACACAACCTCAAGAACTCTACTTTCTCTCTCTAAAAACCTTGCAAGAATGTATGATATGGAAAAATAATGCTTCAAGGCTCTAATCTAGTCCAAAATCTCCTCTCTCCTCCATCACTCACGAGCTCCAACCACTAGAAGGAAGCAGCACCACACAAAATAGGTCAAGGGAACAAGATTCAGCTGGAATTCAGGAGCAGGTGGGCTGCTCTCTGCAGGTCGGCAAGCGCCCACGGGGCGCTGGCGGGCGCCTGTGGGTGCTTATATCCGGAGGAACTTACTGCACAAAATGGCGGGAGCCCGTGGTGGCTCGGCAGGCGCCCGCAGAAGCTCGGTGGGGGCCAGCAGAGGCTGTGGGGCCCCGCTGAAAAAGGTGGCCTACTGGAGTGATTGGTGGGCGCCCGCGATGGCGCGGCGGGCGCCTGCGGATCCTTGGTTTTCACACTTGCAGCTCCTTTTTTTGGCCACTTTAGTTGGCACAACGACACAGTCTTCATTCTGAGCACTATGCTGCAACTTCAAACATCTGGCGACTCTAGAAACTTGACCCAAAAGACGGTACCCAGCAACGGCGTGCTTTGATTCTTCAAAGGCTCGACAAAACTGCATCTTTAACCATATTTGGGGAAATCGACCTAAAAGAAGACGGAAATAAACAAATAAAGCTAAACTATACATTATAATCCGCTAATGGACTTAACTAATGCAAATAAGGGCGCTTGAATATGCAATATTCGGTACTTATCACACCCCCAAACTTACATTTTGCTAGTCCCTTAGCAAAACCAAAATATAGAACTTAACAAAAATATTAACATATGAAATGCTGACAACATGCATCAATCATTAAGTGCAAAAATATCTACAAAGCTCAAATGTAACTTGGAACAACAGAAACTATGACGACTCTGATTTTTAGGCCAGCGTGTCCTATGATGAACCGAAGATTGACCCGATAACGGATCCGATATGCGGAAGCGAAAACAAAAAATAAGACTCTAAGAAGTCAAAGTGACCTTCCATGAGGTCGTGGAACTTAACAAGAACTGATGCGGAAGCAAAAGATCAAAAATGTGACAAATAAGCCCCCAGGGGCAAAATAGTCTTTTCTAAAAACTGTAGATTTGGGTGCCACCGAGCACACCGCTGGAAGGACAATGAAAAACTAATCAAGATGGACTCAAGAATCGTATGATTCGGAGTCCGGACGAAGGAGAAACGGCGTGACGACGGAAAACAGACACTTAAAGCTTTAAGGGCAAACTGGTAATTATCCAAAAATATATGGGTGTAACCGAGCACACCGTTGGATAGACGACGAAAAATTAATCAAGTTAAAAAAAAATTCACTTGAATTGGAGTCCGGACGAAGGAGAAAAGCCCAAAAGAAGAATTGACGTCGCAGCAGCCCGAGGAGGGGCCATGACAGCCCCATGTGTGCACCCATGCACGCCGTGCGCGCGCTGAGTGCACCATGGCTGGCGGCAGCAGCCCATAAAGCTGCTGTGGGGTTATTTTTCAGAAAAATCCAGAACAAAGGCTGAATTTGGAGACCTAGATAAATTTTTTTTCAAAAACACAAAAAAGAAACCCCCCCCCCCCCCCCCCAAAATTGAGTTTTCTACATGACTCGCGAGAGAATTTAAAAAAAAAAAAACAATGTAAAATGCCCGAAATGCTCCTCCATGAAATCTGGTCATGGAGGTCCAAAAAGCTGCTATGTTGAAAAACTGAGAGCTGAACTTCGTAAGCGATTTCCGATATCAAGACGACATTTTCTGGAAAAACACGGAAAAGAAACCCCTCCTAAAATCATGTTTTCTATTCAACCATATTGAAAGAAGAAAATAAAACCACCATAAACAGTCTATAATGCCCCTAGATCAGAATATGCAAAAAAAGTACGAAATGAATTCACAAGAGGCTCAAAACACAAACGATAAGGTTTTGCCCTGAAACGACCATGCACACAAACGTAACTTACCTATTTGGATGTGTTACAATGGTCCACGACTTAAAAATACCACCGATACAAAATCCGACTCCCCAACCAGCAAAAAGGCAAAAATGGAACTTGGAATGAAAACTCGGAATCCAAAAATACAAAATGGGGTCAAATGACTGTTTGGCCCTTAGCCACACTTCATACAAGATTAATAAGACCCTATGAAAGAATGATAATGGAATTCCCACACCCGATGCAACCATGGTGAATTGGACTTGCGATTTTTCAAGATTTTCACAATATTTCATGAAGTTAAAAAGTACATAGAATACAATGTACATGTCATTGGCCTCCGGCCTCATCTCATACATATCAAATACATTGAAAGGAGTGTACTTAAGTACATATTACATACATGGAATCAAATATACATATTTTGACATATAAGTCTATAAAATGACATTTCATGCTAACATTTACATGAAATGGAAACTTTAGAGCTACACGACATCCAAGGAATGCTAGGCGTCACGAACCAAGTCTTCGTACCTGAAATATGCCCCAGTATCGTAGGGGTGAGTAATATAAAGCTACTCATAGGAGATGAGCATGAATCGACCTAGCATTTTACAACTTTATCACCTTAAGGTGAAGCATGTTAAAGGGGTTCATGCCACCTAACGTCTATGTCCAAGTGAGACTCGGGGAGCATCCTAAGCTACCTTAGAGTCTAAGCAACAAGAATCATGGTTGGGATAATCTAAAGAACACGACAAGAAGAATGCTTGAGCATAGATTAACATGAATTGCATTTTCAATACAATTAAACTAGGTCTAGAGTAATCCATATAACATGACAAAAGCATATTTGAATACAAGTTAATAAGAATCACATTATCCATGCAATTCAATAACAAAAGAGCATGTTATACAATGCAACAAGGTATAAGTTCTCAAAGCCATCAACTTAGAATCTAAAGCACAAAATAACAGTGGTGGTTCATGCCACCTAACGTCTAAGTTCTAAATGAATCAATAGGATCAATTCTAAGCTTTGTTAGAACGTCAAAACACAATTTTCAATATCGATGCAATTTAACCAATATTGGAACATCCAATACAACACATAAAGCACAATTTCGCAAAGTTAACATCATGTAACTTAAAATGGAACGACAAATAAGGAACAACAAGTTACAACATCATCTAGTTATCAACTTGAAAATGAAATGCGAAGTCAAACAAAGTGGATACTCGGACGTCACGCCGGATCAGACCAACAACATAGTTACTTTAGGGTTACTAGCCCATGGGTAACCTCCCTATGTGCGCACTAGACCATATAGAGGGACTATCCCCCGTACTAGAACCACGTCCTAGCCATAGTCAAACAACGACATCCCCAAGTTTCCAAAATCAACAAGTTGTGCAACAACGCATATATCAATGGGAATATGCAAGATAATCAACTATCTACTAAGCACAACCAAATTTGGAAACCTATACAATACATGCTCTAAATCCACAACTAATATGATATGATGAATGTCGAATCTTCAGTGTGCGATTCGTTACACACTATGCATGAAAGATGTTAAACACGAAGTGTGCAAATCATTACACAAGGCAACAATATATTCAATAAAGAAAACATATTCTCATGAATACAAACATAGCAACTATGTTGTCCAATGTTCAAAACATAACCAAATGAATATACAACAAGTCCATGTCTAGGATTTTGATATAGAAACGACTTTCAAATAGAATTAAATCCATGGCTCAATTCGATAGAATTTAATTAAATAAAAATAATTAAATTCCCTAG